TCAAGTACATACAGTACACATATGTACATGTATGTATACATATGTATATGTACACTTAGAAGGCAGACTTATCAAGAAGAAATGGCTTCACGTTTTGATATATATTTTTTCTAGTGGTGGTTTCCAAGATGCACGTAGCCAGTACTTTTCACTTGCCCTTAGACACTTGACGTGTTCAGAGCGTTCTCACAGTACAGAGCACAGAATTCTCATCACGGGTCTGTCAGTTATGGGGAGATCATGTCGCCCATCGGTCACATGTTTAAAACCAGCGAGTAAACAGCAAGTGACGAGCCGTCGTGGAAGTATTTCCACGAGGCGAGTTTTACCTGCGAACCATGAGATGAGAAGCGGGAAAGGGGTGCTGTTGCGCTGTGCTTGGGTTGATGGCAACGCGGTAATAAATCTACGCCTGCACTTTATGTCCTCTATTCAGCAGAAGTTGTGCGGAGAGTACCGGTGACAGCAATAAAGACCATCAGCACGGGGAGCCCTTCATCCTGTCTGCAAATCTGAGCCTGCTTCCAAACAAACCCACCGACGTACGTGCCCCAGGAGACCACGGACGTGGGTGCAGCCTCCGGGATCCCACCTCCCATGACCGTCACATCAGATCGCATCCTGGATGCAGAACCTCCGAGCGTAAGAAATGTGGGAGAGTCGCCCGGTGTCTCCCCAGCCTCACCCCTTCCTTGTGACCCTTCTGTGAGGGGTGTCCAGTTGTCCACAGATGGGCTGTGGGTCCACTCGACGCCCCCCCTCATTCACATTGACATGCGAGATGCCCATTCTTACGTGAGTGCGCTATCCAAACATTAATTTCCCGAGAGATAGAAAAGGGAAAAAGTTTCTCGTGTGTGTGGGGAGGCCCAACTGCACCGACAACACACGCCTGGGTTTAATTGCTGCCTTTAGCCGGCCTCTGACACCTGTGGTCTTGGGGACTCCTTTCTGACTTTCCGATTTCATGTTACGTGTGTCCTGTATCCAGTATCTTTCTCCTAATCACACCCAATAAGGCCGTGGTCCTCAGCCTTCCTCACACCCCACCCTTTCCTGCAGCTCCTCATGCGGTGCTGCCCCCCAACCATAACATGGTTTTCGTTGCTACTTCATCACTGTCATTTTGCGACTGTGATGAATCGGGCGACCCCTGTGAAAGGGTCATTCGACCCCCAAAGGGGTTGCGACCCTCAGCTTGAGAACCACTAAAATAAGGTCACCCTCACTCAAACCCTCTTCCTGGACCATTTCCTAGGAAATCGCTTTTCTCACTATTGCTAAAGTGTGCATGTAGCACAATGGGGCTCAGTCTTATTTGATGTACAGCAAC